GAAATAAATGTTCGACAATCAAAGAAGAATGCCCGCAACTCATAAATCAATATATTTATAACATTTGAAATCATAAGTTAAAAAAACATAATAATATTTATTTATTACTAATAAAATTTATTATGAATTATTTAAATAATTAAATTATATTTTTAAAATGAAATAATCAAAATTACATAAATAAATATTATAAAAATTGTGAATAAATGTATATGGTATTATATTATTTGTGTTATTGTGTTGGGATAAAATAATTATGGGTACTCTTATGTTATATAATAGTGGTATATTAATTTATTTTAATAAAATATAAAGTAACAATAAAATTGTGTTACTGTTTGAATGTATCTATGTATTTTTTTTAAATTATTAAATATACTATTTTATACTAAAAAAATATATCAAATTGATTATACTCGAATATTAGGAGAACTAAGTAAAAGTTTATTAGCCCACAACATACAGATCATACGCACGTGACGAAAATACAAGCAGTAGAAAATTTTACTCTTTCGAAAAAGAAAAAAAAAAAATACAGCGGAAGATTATATAAGAGCCAGAGAGACTCAGCATTTTTGTTTTTATTATGTTGACGATGCATGCATGCTACCGCAATCTCCTGCCGTATCAACTAAATTTCTTCACTTGATGCTGCAAATCAAGAGCAACCAGATATAAGAAAATGAGAGATAAAAAGGTTGTACGCGTACATATATATATTTATATGAGTAAGAAAAAATAAGAGTTGTACGCACGTGTTGCAGTTGGTGCTGGTGCTAATCTTGTAAGGGATGCTGACGCCGCATTGGCCGGGGAGACTAGCAGCAAGGTTGGAATTAAAGTTGGTATCTTTGGCCGCACTCTGCAGACACTGACAAGCGGTTCTCCTATCCGGTGTCGTTTGGGCTGCACTGTTAAGACTCCCGACACCGGCGCAGCATGCTGCCGGCGGAGAATTACCTGCCTTGCCTTGCAAGTAAGTCAGGCATGGTCCCAGCGCAGATGCTACTTGGCCGCAAGTCAGAGCCTCGCTGGTCAGCGCCCCAGCCACCGCCATAAACAACACCAACCCGCGAGCCAACTTCACGTTCGCCATTATTATCTCCGAAATCCTCACTCCTTTTTTCTCCTTTTGATTTGTAGTTGTTGAGGGTGGGCAGGGTGTTATATAGAGGAAGAGCTGGAGCGGAGACTGTGTGGAAGTATGAAAGTTGGGTGATGAGAAAAGAATGGGTTGGTCGGGGGTTGGACCGATTTTAATTTAATAAGTTGACGCATGTTAATTAATATTTGGAACTTACAGTAAAGAATGGTACACGTGGCAAATCAATATTTGACTAACAATTTTATTACGTAAATTACGAGTAAATTGTAGGGAGATATGCACATAAATTTTCAGGTTGGCGAACGGTCAATCTATCTTTTCCCATTTTAAATGAAACGTATAAAAACCTGTAATTGTTTATTTTGTACAAATAAATAATTATCTTTAACATAATAGTTTTATATTTTCATGATATATAATTATTTTTATTATTACTTTAAATAATAAAAAAGTATCTTATTAATTTAATTATTTAATTAAAGTATACTAATCAATGACAAAATATAATTTTATATTAAACGCGTTGTTTATTTTATCGATTTCAATATATGTGATTAACCATTGCTTGTGATATGATATTATTAATTTAAATATATAAATATTTTAAATGTTTAAAAATTTAATATGCAGAATACTTGAATTTATTGATATGTAATGTAATATGATAAGTGTAATATAATTATATTAATAATATAATTATATCATTGTTAGTACGAATATTTATTAAATTTAAATTTTAAAAATATTTATTAAATGCTTTAAATCCTCTCATTTTATAGGAATTTGAATAGATTTACTTTTCTTTATTTTTTCTGAAAAATATTTCCATATAGTTATTTTCAGTAACTTTTTTAAATAATTCAAACACACCGGAAAGCTCCAAATGATGAAAGACTTTTTAGTTAGGGCGCTTTTTTTTTCTGTATACCAATAAAATATCGACGCGTGGACGAGCAGTAGTACACGTTTCCTTACAGCCCTCCATCTGTCATTTTAATTTGCCAACATTTGACACCTGCCAGGGTTTTAAATAGATAAACAAACATAGGATCACAAGCTTGGTTTTGGGCCGGATCGGCCCATTCAAACCGGTAAGGCCACGTTCTGATTGTGTTCGTAATGGGATAATTAATTCGACCCGGTCCAAAAAATAATACATGTTTCAAAAAACTTTACATGTTTTTTTTTTTTTAATTAATTTGGATTATTTATTACATACAGGAAGCTTATAAGTATTTAACCTCGTTTTATAAGAATTTTACAAATCACTTAGGAAAATATTAAGTGTTGAATTTCATTTATATAGATTCTACTTATCAAAGTGTTAAATATAATTTACAAAGGATATGTGATTATTTTTTAAATGATTTGCGTACTTAAATGCTGAATAGTTGGTTCAAAAATTTATATAAGAAAATTTTATCAGTATCTATTTATATTTTTTATTTTCTTAATTTATTATTATTATTTAATTCCAATATTTACTATTAAAAAATAAAAAATTTGATTAAATATTAAAAAATAAAAAAAAATGTAAACATAAGTCCTATAAATTTTAAGAAATAAAATTAAAAGTTAGAGACAGGTATTTTTGATAAATAATTTATTTTGACGTGAATAATTTGATCGTACTTACTTTTTATTAATTAAAAAATTTAAAATTATTAAAATAAATATTAATCGATAATTCAAATTAATATTTATATTTTAGAAATTACATAATTAACATAAATATCAGGAAAAATTTTGAATAATTTATCATAATATATAGTAGTATATTATTTGAGATAAAAATAATTGTGGATTTTGTTATATTACGTAATGATGATATATATATTTTTTTCTGTAAGAAATCATGTGTTTAAATGAGATGTATTTATCATTTGAGCATATTTGTGTATTATTTAATTAATAAATGTAATTATTATAATTGAAAGAAAAGAAAAGAAAAGAAAAAATTACTTATAATTGGGTATTAGGAGAAGTAAGTAAAAGTTTATGAAGCTAAGCTGGTAGCACACAACGTACAGATCACATGCACGTGATCAAAGTACAAGTAGAAGAAAATTATACTCCTTCAAAAAAGAAAAACTACAGTGGATAAATTATAAGACCCAGACAGACAGACAGACTCGGCATTTTTATTTTTATTAGTTTGACGATGCATGCACGCTACTGTAATCTCCTGCGATATCGTATGAATTTCTTCACTTGATGCTGTAACACAAATGAAAACTTAATCAGAAAATTAGAGATAAAAAGGGTCGTACGTATAAATACAAGCATAAATACAGTATATATATATATATATATGAATTTTTGGAATAAAAGGAAATAAATAGAAAAAAGAAGAGTAGTACGTACGTGTTGCAGTTGGTGCTGGTGCTGATCTTGTAGGGAATGCTAACGCCGCATTGGCCGGGAAGACTAGCAGCAATACTGAGATCAAATTTGGTAGCCTTGGCCGCACTCTGCAGACACTGGCAAGCGGTTCTCCGATCCGGTGTCGTTTGGGCTGCACTGTTAAGGCTCCTGACACCGGCGCAGCATGCTGCCGTCGGAGAATTACCAGCTTGGCCTTGCAAGTAAGCGAGACATGGCCCCAGAGCAGATGCTACTTGGCTGCAAGTCAGAGCCTCGGTGGTCAGAGCCCCAGCTACCACCACAAACAACACCAGGCCACAAGCCAACTTCACGTTCGCCATGCTTATCTCCGAATTCCTCACTCTTTTTTTTTTTTCTCTCTCTTTCCCGAGTTGTGAGGAGAGACGAGGGCTGTGCAGGGTATTATATAGAGAGGGAGTGGAAAGTGTGTAGAAGTACGAAAGTTCGAGTGATGAGAAAAAAGAGTGAGTTAGTTGGTTGTTGTCGAAATTTTAATTTAATAAATCGACGGACATTAATTAAAATTTGGAATTTATAGGACCGGATGATACACGTGGCAAATCAATATTTAACTATTTTTTTTTTTTTAATAAAAAAACAAAAACACTTTTTGGACCTTTTAGGATGTATTCCACGTGCATGATGTTGGTACGCCACATATCCAACTATGTCACCCTCCTTACACCTAATAACGTGCAATGTCAGTACCAAATCCAGATCGGTGCCAAACTTTGATAGCACCAAATTCATTACTATTGGTTTCTCATACAGTCTTTATTAACCCATTAGTTATTTACTTTATTTTTCTGAGAAAGTTTCAAAATGATCACTCCTTAAAAAATCTGAAAACACACTGGGAAGCTCCAACCCATAAGATGTTGACACGTGGACGGGCGAGTACATCCGTGCCCGTAACATGTTATTTACAGCCTTCCCACCTTCCGCGGTTCAATTAATTTTCCAACAATTTAATAAAAAAATAAATAATAAAAATTTTTATGCGGGACCAGGAGCTCGGTTCGAGCCGGATCGGCCCATTCTAACTTGTAAGGCAGCGTTCCGGTTGTGTTCATAATGGGATTAAATCTGCTTACTCGATCCAAA